AACAGGAAAGCTGGATGCCACCTTCCTAGTGCATGGTCAGCTGGTGGCCGCGTCTCGGGGAGTAGCATTTACTTATTGGATTGGCCCTGCTTTTAAACACACGAATAAGTACTCTTCCATACACTGCTAAGCCCACTGCACACCAAGCTTAATTTGCACCAGCTGGAAACTTGCTTTCTCTTTCTTTGTCTGTGCTCTTATGTGTGTATGGCTACAGTGCCAAGTGGTGTCTGGCCATGGCCAAATCACAAGCAAAACCAGTGCTGCATTGCTCTGTGCTACAGGGAACTGTTGCCAGCAGAGCAAAAGTGAAGCTGCCAACATCACAGTCCACGTTTGACTGGTGTTTGTAAGTGCCCAAAGCACACCAGAAAGCAGAAAGAATCAGGTTTCTTCATCTTCCCAGAAGGGGGGAAGGGTTGTTTTGCTGAAAGCATATTTTCATTATTGTGCTACACAACAGTGATTTATTCTGTCACACTTCAGAGTTTCATTTAACATTCTTCTGCTGTAAGATGACAATTTGGGTGTGCAGACAGGCAAAAATCGCATATCTGAATCCCACACCAAAGACTGGATTATGCTACCTTAAATTAGATTAAAATATGAAAGAAAACATCACAGAGCAATCTAAACATATAAATACATTTGCATATACACATGCATACACATATATTGAGTGGGAGAGGAACTGGATCCTGTATCTACAATTAGAAACCCACACAGACAAAAATATTACTCAGAGGAGAAAGCAGGATCCCGTGTGCCATGCGAACACAGCTCAGGTTTATCAAATGCTACATTTGAGTGCCATTTGCAGACAAGGCACATAATACAGCAATAAATATTCAGGTCAAGCTTTGAAGATAAATGGTCTGAGGACTTTTTGTTTTCAATTCCCCGAGCTAATATTGGTTTTCTCTCAAAATGACAGGCTAGCTTTGCAGCTCACATGAATCAAGGTTGCTTCACATTTAACACTGCTGAATTCTCAAGCATACTCAGCTAGTTCAAATGAGCAAGAACCATAGATTTGGGAAGGAGAGGTTAGAGGTTAGCAGAAGGGAAGGAACAAACAGGAGGGACAATCCTTTATGGAGACTCCACCAGCATCCAAAATTACAACTGCAACAGTGCAACATCACTGAGAGGAAACACAACTCTGACACTCTGACTGCAGGGACTGCCCACGGTGTGATGCCTCTCTCACTTGCCTCTTCGCTGTCTCCTTAATAAGGGAGCTGTTTCCTTTTGCACTTTTGCTATTCATTGTGCATCAAGCTGCGTGCGTGCAGGGACAGGGGTTTGAAGGCAAGACACCCTGCCCTTGTTTAAATTCATAGAGCCTGCTGCAGATATGCGCTGTCAAGGGACCTCTACCTGCCTGGAACTTACCATTGCATCTTCTATCTCTGCGGTCCCGAGCCTGTGTCCGCTGATGTTAATCACATCATCCATGCGCCCCGTTATCTGGTAATAGCCTTTCTTGGTTCTGTAAGCACCATCCCCTGTGAAGTAGTAACCTACAGCAAAGACATGCAGGTGGTCAGCAGTAGTGAGCGTGCCAGCCTGTTGCTTTGGGCTCTGATGCAGAACAGACTGTGCAAGCAGGGTACGGCGGATCAGGCAGCTTGCAGGGCCTCCTAAACTTACAGCCGCATGACCTGTGACACACCATTTCCCACTTCCATCTGCCATCCCCAACCTTTGTCTGCTCTGCCTGGGCTGTGCTGGCTCCTAGTAAGCACCTGAGCAGCACCACAACAGTGGAGCTCAGATCTCTGCCAAGGTGGGCAAAATCACTGTAGGCAATCAGCAGCAACCAAAGTAAAACCAAGTCCAACACCACCACACAGTGATGTTTTGTTGGATTTACACAACTGATCTCCCTAGGCTTTACATGCCTACAGCTGCACAGCAACTGTGTGCTCAGGCCTGGTGCATACAGCACTAAGATAAAACCACTTCAAATGCCATTTGCCATCATGCCGTAGAGTATTGGTCAAACTCAGGTCTGCTGCTACACCTCAGCACTCATGGAAAACTACACCTGTTCAGCTGAAAGAGAGCAATTCTATTATGTTTTGAACATGGGAACATTGCCAATTTTTTTATCACTTCCACTGGGATGGATGAAAAGCCATTTTCCCTCCTGGCTAACAACAATTCAGATCCCAGGTAACAGTCCCTCTCCAACATATGAGCATGGCAGAAACACTGCTATCAGATTAGCTGGAAAAAACCACCCACATAAGCATGCTGTTTGGAGGCTCCAAAACATTTGATGGATACTAAAAAAGACCCAGTGGTTCCAGGAAATTCCACTGTCACTGAGGACACATCTGGTGGCACAGATTGTGTTGGCTCTTCATCAAAGCCACGTCCACATCTGAATTGTTCCGGTGGCATTTCTGAGCAGCAGCAGGCAGCTAGCGCTGCGAAATCTGAAGGTGGTTCTTGCCAGGACCCATTATTGGCCAATTCATGGACTTTGAGTCATGCCTCCTGCCCTTCCAAATCAATTAACCATCAATTAAACATCAACAAGATTTCAGATGCGAACATGTAGTGACTAATAAGGGACTATGGGCTCATTCAATTTCTTCCAACAGTTTCCCATTCTTATTTTCCAGCCCATTTTGTCCCATTTGCAGGATTGTCTCTCTAATTCTTGTCTACCTTGTAGCTTTCAAGTCTCTTTCAGTTGCTCCCCTGAGTGAAGACAGTGGTCTTGTCCAACCTCCTCTAAAAAATGTTTCCCTGCCACTTCTAATTACTTGCCAGATACAACTTGACCATATTTTAAAAAGGAAGGATGTTACACAGCCTGTGACAGCAGGGGTGAGATTCAGTGACGCAGGAGGTACTTTCCCATCCAATATGCCTATTTCCAAGGGAGACACAAATGGCCCCAAAGAAAAGGTACTTGGACTTTAAAATGTGGGCATTAACATTTTCTGAAAAATACATTCCCTTTTGACAGCTAGAAAGGCCAACACTATCTAAGACCATTAGTGCATGCTTGCAACACATAGCACACAATCCCAAGCAACCAAGATCTGGTACAGAAATATCACAAAGTGCTGCTGCAAATATTCAGTGTGCTTATACTGCAGTGCAAACTGCCTTCCCTTGGCACTTTCCTTACCTGGGTAGGCTTTGAAATAGGCATCAACAAATCGCTGGTGATCTCCGTGGATTGTTCTTGCCATGCCAGGCCATGGCTGGGCAATGCAGAGCGCACCGGATACATCATTGCCCTCTATAACCTTTCCCTGAAGGTTCAAGCACAGGAAGGATGATCAGGTGAGGAAAATAGGAATAGTAAGGGCTTCTGTGTTATTCATATATCAGGCAAGAGACCCGTTGGCTGCTCCATCACAGCCAGCATCACCAGATATTGCATGCACTGCTCCAACTGCTCAGCTCCCTGATTCCCAGGAGCTGTGTGACTTCTGATTTCTCTCATAAATGGAGGCAGCAGCTCTTAATCAGAAGCAGTGTAAAAAGTGGTGCTGAAAATGCAAACACTCCTCTAGAGATTTGCAGGCAGCTTGCAATGCCCAGTTGGCAATCTGTGTGGACATTTGAGATATGCTCAATATATATGTTGCTCATTTATTCTACCATTTTAATGGAGAAACAAACATCCTTAAGGATCCTGTTCCTCTGCCATCAGAAAAGTGATTAAAGCAGAAACACACACCAGATTCTCTTTTGGACACTCAGCACAGCCTCAACTCACATTCTCATCCATCAGCACGGGCACAATCCCAAAGAAAGGTCTCATAGCCATAGCCGGAACGATCTCAGCTTTCTCCTCTGAAGGCCGTGGGGCAATGCAGATGCCACCAGTTTCTGGAAGAATAATAAAAACCAAAATATGCGGGGTCCATCCAATGCTGGATGAAAGCAAATGCCAGCTCTTCTTAGCTAAAGTTGAGAAGAGTGAAGCCACCTTGCAAGAAAAAGCCACCGGGAAGGAATTATGCAACACCAAGTAGCACAGCCATCTGAAAGCAGCACAGACCTGACAAACCAAGAGCTCTCTGTGAATACAAGAAAGGCTTAAACATAGAAAAACGTCTGGCAAGCCAGGATGATGCCACCAAGGCCTGTTCTGTCTACAGGGGACATTGCAGCAGGTAGAGAGCAGAGAGCTGCAGGCAGGTATCCCCTTTGGTAAGCTTGGATCAAGAGCTACTCCTACTCCCTGTTTGCATGGGGCCTCATTCAGTGCTGGCTACAAAAATCACTGCTCCCTGTGTACACTGGTGACAACCCACAGAGTGTGGCCACTCTTCCCTGAGGGGAAGAACAGCTCGCCATGCCCCGGAGCATCAGGATCACCGACGTCCGGCTTAGCTCTTCAAAGGCTTGGAGGAGAGCAGTACCTGGTTCTACAGCGGCTGGCTTTGCACCAGACGGCCTGTGGACTCTGCAGCAGCAGCCACGACACGTGCGTTCCACAGCCTTCCCACAGTCCCATCTGTGACAAATCAATCAGGCACAATGAAGACCCCATTGACTGAGCCCCCATGCTCTGTTCTCTTAAGTCAGCTCACAGATAAACCCACTCCTCCAGCTACCGGCCAGCAACGAATACAGGCAGCTCTAATGCACGCTTACACCCTCGCAGGTCCTTTCCTTCTCACGCTATCAGGGCTGCTTGGTGGCAGGGGCAGTACTCACCAGCCCCATTCCCTACCCCAGAAGTGATTTTACAGGGAAAGTATAAGCATGTCAGGGGATTTATCTCCCAGTGCTCTTTGTACAGTTAAGGTTAGCATGAAAATCACTACAGGAGTCTGAATTACTATTATTACAGAATATGAGATTAACCCACCCCTTAACAGGCAGGTTGAGCTGCTTTTTATTCAAAATTGAACCTTTTAATCATCCTTTTTCATTTCTGCTGGGATGAACATTAAATCAGATTCCAACCTTAATCAGATCTTTTCTATTTTAAAACTAATTCAGAAACACAAGAGAGAAACAAAAACAAAGGAGCATTAGGCTTTTAACAATACAGCTCTATGAATAAAGGTATGTTCTGCCACATGGAGAGTGCATTCTTCTATCAGCTTTGCTGAGGCTGTGAAAACTGAAACCAGGGGTTGGAAAGGCTGAATTTGACCCTGAATTTGAATCCAGCTGTCCTGACGTAGCTATGAGGAAGGGTCTCTTTGAGGAACCCTAAGCTTCAGACCTGCAGAAATAGATTCACATGTGGCTTACACATAGAATTATTTCACATTTCATTGATGGGCATGCATCCACTTCACATGTTTCTGTTTATTTTGAAAGGGTCATCTTGAATTTTTTCAGAAAAAGAAAAAAGCACCCCAGCCACCTGCTGTTCTGTTTGCACAGACAAAATCTGTGTCAGAGCAGGGAACCTGATTAAACTGATGGTTGCTCTTCCTAAGCCAGTATTCATTCTGAATACAGCACTGCAAGCTATGTTTCAACATGGGCTTTGCCACATTCTACACATCCTGCAGCCAGCTGCACTTAAGGCAGTAAAGACGCATTCCAGAGGGAGCTGCATAGTGGCAAGGATGCTTTAAAAATTATTTGCATGGTAAAGACCTATTTTAAACTGGTTTAAAAGTACCAATTTTAGTCACTGACAGCTAGCAAGGCTTCTAGGCTCTACCCTGCCCTTATAAAGTCTGTCTCTTTAGAGGAAGCCAGCAAAAGAAAAGCTGGACTTCCACGTTACCTGTGCCCATGGTGTCACCATTGTGCATATCCACCCAGACTTTAAGCAAGGACAGCAGAGTCTGAGCAGGGGTGATGCATCAAAACAGGCTCTGCTCTGTCGTAGGTGTATCGCCTCTGGCAGCAGCGTGGAGCACGTACTCTCTGACACTGTTGTCTTCACCACCACAGATAGATTGGACTGACTACTTCGGGGGAACCCATCTCAGAAGCACGAGCCCAGTCTAAATCGCTGTAAGATGATGCCAACAAAAGCTTCCAGGGCCTATTCAGAGATGTCTTTCAAAACCAGCTTTTCTTCACAGCTGCATGCAACAGCTGTACTTTTTTTATAAAACCAACAACAAAAGTAAAAATACCTAGTGTCTCCTCCGCACTGTGAAGAACTACACCTGAAACTCAAACACAGCTTTGATTCTATTACTGTCAATCACAGCACAGCACTACCTAATATTTTAACAGTAAGAGCCATAGGAAATTTTCATCTCTCGCATCTGCACATACCACACTACTTAAATTGCTTCTCATAATTGCTCACTCATTTGCTCATCCAAAGACTTTCAAGTGGATTCTTAAATCACCATTTGCTGATCTTTATGCCACCAGGCTTTATTAGCTGGCAACACATTGCTGCTTCGGAGAGCAACGTATCGTAGAGGACACTGCACACAACAGCACAATTAACAATCTATATTGAAATGGTCTATGAGAGGTGACACTGCAGGACCACAAACAGCATCCATCAAACTGTTCCTGTGCTCTCTTTCCACGCTCCCTTTACATTCAAATGGCATATATAATGTTTCCAAGATTAATTTGGCTTCCTCTTTATTGGAAGTATCAACTGTGGAGAAAGATTGATTATTCTACTTTCTAACAAAATCAATGTCATGAATATTTATCATTATATTATGCTTCCAGGAGCTGGTAACTGTTGACCTGCAAAACTATTCCTGGTTCAAGGTAAGATCAAGCACTTACAGACTATCAGCAAATGTTCTTTAACCTCTCACCTGACAGTTGTTGCTCCAAAAACCCAGGAGAAATACAGTTTAACATAAGATCTAACCCTGTACTTTGGAGGAAATAATAGAAGACACTGCACGCACCAGTTAACTGAAGACAAACAAGCAAAAAATGTTAGGGCAAAAAAAGATTCTTCTCATCTCTGTTACTGTACAGTAATCAACTGCTTCTCCACGGTATTTTATTTCAGAGCAGTGAGGAGGAAAGCATATAGCACTTAACCAGTCAGCTTTCCTTCTGCTCAGCATGTGAGAACCCAGATGGTTTAAGAGATCAGTAATTGAAGTAGATAGCAGTTAACATTGCTGCTCTGAATTCTGAGGTTGTTTTGTTTTAAAACTGAAAATAAAAAGAGTCTGCAAGTCTGGTCTGGATTAAATGGAACTTGGTTGTGTGCCAGAAGCTAATTCATCACACAGAGATGGGCCACAGGGATCCTGAAGACAGAGCCTGCTAGCAGGAATAAGGATGAAATCAGGAGCAACTTGACTGGAAAGGGAATGAAAATTCTGCCCAGTGCAGCTAGAAATTAAAGAGTAGGGATGGCTTTTTTTTCAGCAGAGGCAGAACACCAGCAGCTGTGCTGTGTCCTTTAAGTCCACAGTTCCATGGCAAACTGTGGTTCACAACCTGAGAAGAACATATTGCAAGACACCTTTAGCAACTCTGGAAAGTTGTTGCCCATAGGAGACTTCCAGGTGCTGAGGAAGGAGCCAGGAAGGAGCCGCAGGACTCCTTGGAGCACAGGGCCCCACCAGGCAGCACAGCCCCAGCCGGAGTGCAGCGCTGCGGCCTCTCTCCGCTGCTGGCCAGGGAGGGCAGGAGGCAGGGACCAGCTCTGCTCCAACCGGACAGGGATCTATGAGAGCCGGTCACTCTGTCCAGCAGGTTGTAAACAGAAAACAATTCTTAACTGATGCGCACAGCTGGGCCAAGCACATTGCCAAAACAGAAGCACACTCCTTTTTGAGGCATCGGAGGTCCAGGGCCAAAGCAACTAGAGCGTACAACTTCACTGCTGGGAGAAGCTGCTCCCAGGCAGCCCTGCTGGGTGACAGACACTGTCCCCTACCCACCTCCACTCGGTCCTTTCCAATCTGCCAGAGCAGTTGCACTACGTCCCTTTGACTACACAGCTTAGTTTTACATCCTCCTCTGACCGTTCCCAGGAAGGGAAACAAAGCACACCTAAGTACAGATTGTGGCTATGTGGTGCTATAAACACCTTTTCATGATAAGACTATATCAAAGTCAGTACTGTTGGATAAATAATTGAAAATGAGGTTTCCAATTCAAACTGCCTACTCCCAGCTTTGCCCAGAAATTAAATCTCTGCCTCCTGTTTCTAGAACCGATTGATATTTTCTGGCATTCAAAATATCAAAGAACATTTAGAGGGGAAAAGAAAAAACAACAGCATTGCTATTGCTTTTATATGCTGTTACATTGCTATTATGTGCTGAAACTCCCCAGTGAGTTTCAAAAGCTGATCAAAATGCCAGGAAGGGTTTTTCTGACAGACTCGTTGGATCAAATTGAAATGTATTAATTCTATTCTTCTCTACCCACCAGCAACCTGCCAATGGTCAGGGCCCTCCACGCTTGTCCATGGGTGCCTTTTACCTGTCTGCCACCACGTATCCACGAGGGTGCAACGTCCTTCTCCCACCACCTGGTAGAACCACTGCCAAGCTTCGTTGTTGATGGGCTCTCCCACTGGACCAAAATAAGAAAGGAAGCAGCCTGAGACTCGGGGGCGGCGGGGGGGGGGGGGGTGCGGCGGGGTGGCTTCTC